ATGGGGTCGGCTTATGATTAGGTCGGGAGCAAGTCAGATCTTCCTCCAAAGATTGGTAATATTTATGTAGGCAAAAAGAGAAAGGAGAAATAGAGAGAGAGAGGGAGAGAGAGAGAGAGAGAGGGAGAGAGAGAGAGAGAGAACCGGGAGGAGGGGATAAGGAAATTAAACCCTTTAAGTCAATGCATATTGTGGTGACACCGGCACAGGAGCCCTCACGGTGGAGTCGGCCAGGGCTGTGCGTTCCCAAAATATGACCAGGGGTGCTTGGATGTGTCGGCAGTATGACGACGGCTTAAAAATCTGGTTGGCCGCACCCCGGGAGAACGAGAAACCGTTCATCGATTCAGAGAGGGCTCAGAAATGGCGACTGTCTCTGGCATCTCTCTTGTTTTTCACAGTCCTGCTCTCTGATCACTTGTGGTTCTGCGCCGAGGCCAAGCTGACCCGGGCCCGGGACAAGGAGCAGCAGCAGCAGCAGCAGCAACATCAGCAGCATCAGCAGCAGCAGCGGCAGCAGCAGCAGCGGCAGCGGCAGCAGCAGCAGCAGCAGCAGCAGCGGCAGCGGCAGCAGGAGCCCTCCTGGCCCGCGCTCCTGGCGAGCATGGGGGAGTCCTCGCCCGCCGCCCAGGCGCACAGACTCCTCTCCGCCTCCTCGTCCCCCACCCTGCCCCCCTCCCCGGGAGACGGCGGCGGCGGCAAGGGCGACCGAGGCAAAAACAACCGGAGCAAGGCTCTTTTTCTAGGAAACTCTGCCAAACCGCTGTGGCGCCTGGAGACTTGTTACCCCCAGGGCGCCTCTTCGGGCCAGTGCTTCACGGTGGAGAGCGCGGACGCCGTGTGCGCCAGGAACTGGAGTCGGGGGGTGGCGGCCGCGGGGGAGGAGCAGCAGGTGAGGGGGACGCATCCAACTCCGCTCTGGAACTTGTCAGATTTTTACCTTTCGTTTTGTAATTCCTACACACTTTGGGAATTGTTCTCGGGGTTATCCAGTCCCAACACTTTGAACTGTAGTCTGGATGTGGTGCTCAAGGAGGGCGGCGAGATGGCCACTTGCCGGCAGTGCGTCGAGGCTTACCAAGACTACGACCACCACGCTCAGGAGAAATACGAAGAGTTTGAGAGTGTGCTCCATAAATATTTACAGTCGGAGGAGTACTCGGTGAAATCCTGTCCTGAAGACTGTAAGGTAGGAACAGTGGGTTTTTTTTTTCGCCCCCTCTTGAGCTTTACTGTCTGTGTGTGTTTGGCCGGAGACGTCCTCTAGAGTTTTAAAATAGTTTTTTTTTTTTTTTTTTTTTTTTTTTTTTTTTTTTTTTTGACTCTGGTTTTGTTACTTCACTTGTTGTTTTTGTGGTTAGGAGGGCCTGACTTGCTTAAGTTGGGAGCACCTTGAGGATTGCCGGTGGACTGGTGCCATCTGGGAATACTTGGAAGCTCAGGAAAGACCCTGGCGTTCTGAGATGATAAAGCTGATGCTTTGCTATCTGTTAGATCTATGCAGTTGGTTCAAACTCTGTTACCATTTTTTTTAATGGAATTTGAATGCAGCTTGTTAGGCAGACAGATGGAACTGGATACTGATGACCCCAGATAAAATCAGTCAGTGACAGGCATGTGTGGTTTGGCTTATGGACCTGCACACATGTTCTTTCTGATATAGTGACATCATTAAGTTGGTTGGCCAGAGGGACAAAAGAAAGTGTTTGTAGTTGTTTATGCAGGAAGAATGAAAAAGCATTTTACTTGTTTCACAGGGGTAATTCTGGTTGTTTGGGAAGTATGGAGGCCTACCTAAGTGTATTTATTCACCATAAGTTTCCTGTTTTCTCTTAGACATTTGTATAATAACTGATCTGAGACTCATTATGAGTAGAAAGTTTTATTTAAATATCTGGTGATCGATGAACAGTATTAGCTAATTTAACACACCTTACGTAATTAGCTTTAATTATCAGGATCCTCTACAGAAGTGCTAAATGGCAAATGCTAGATGCTATGAGCTCCTTAATAGAGTGTATTATATTCAGCCTCTTCCTGTTGAATATAATAATGGATATAATACTTGCTGATTGACAAAGGAGAAGCCAATGCAAGTTTCTTAAGAAATGGTCAATGTAATTAATCAAGGGCGCCAGTGCCAGTAGAAGTGTCTCTGTCCGTGGTGCTGAAATGAGATTTGCCCCAGAGCTCTGTTGAAGATGAATATACTGCAGTGACCTTTTAGTAGGGAAGAAATGATGACAGAATCTCAATAAGCCTTTATGTTTCATCCCAGGGGTAATCTCTTAAACAGCACAAGAAAATACTATTGCTTTTCAGAAGAAAAAAATACACCACAGTCTCTTCCTTTCTCTTGACTACTCTCCCAAGTCCACTCAGGAACAGAACTGTCCCTCTTCTGCCTCACTTGCTTTGTATTGGGGAAGTGTAATCAAGGGCAGTATGGATCAAAGGCTTTTGTGATACTTTGACTAGAGAACTGGGCAAAGGGATACCTGTTTAAAATGAACATAGTTCAAGGGCTGTATTTTACTTTGGATTGATTAATTGTGCTTTTGACAATTAAGCTAAACTCAAACTAAACTTCCTTTGTCAACATTCTTTAAAAGACTAGAAATAGGGCTTCTTTTCAGATAGTAATACTGAGTTTACAACATTAATCTGGAATGCTACTTCACTAGATAAATGGATCTTAAACTTTCTGTTTTTCTTAAACATACCACTATAACTCATGCCTGGGGATCAAACTTACTCTTAATGGCAGAAGTTAATGAATGACTAGCATATTTATTGCATAGTTATTTATTTTGACAAGATATGTTGCCTCAGAATTGTAAAGATAAGGACACTCATGTGTCTGCTAATTACACTGCTAATAAAAAGGTTGCAAAGATTTCACTGTAGTTATGTTCAAAAGTGGTAGCTTGTAATAATATAATTTTGTTTGCCTCCCTGAATGCAAACTTTTATACAAATTTCTAGTAATCCCAATTTGCATAGGACAGTATTTAAAACATAGTCTGTATTGTCAATAGACGGCAACATATTTTCAGATAAACATGTCAAATAGATTTTTGTTCAAATACCCAGATTTTAAATATATGTAAATGTTTATCTTCTCCTTGACCTGACATAAATCTCAACTTTATAACTATGTTATCATTCATCGCTATAAAGTATAGTGTAGGTTAAACTAACTTGTGATGTTGTAAACTACTTCTGTATTGTGTATCTGTATAAAATAGTCATCATTAACTGCATACACAAAGGCATATTATACAAATATCAGTTCCTTTTCTTCACATGGAAAAGTAAATACAGACAATTGAATTTCTTATCTCCACCACACAGAATTTGTTACCCACGATGTCTTGGAGCTATTTCTTGGTTGTGTGATTTCAGTTGATTTGTCAATCTGACATATTTATTCCACAGTAACTGTTTTCAAAAATTACAGTTTCAAATTTAAGGTGTCAGTGTTTTTGGTTGATAACTCACAAATCAATTGCTTAGTTTTTTAGTTTAATGTATGATTTGTTTTTGATTCTGCAACGGCCACAAACATATCTAAATACAAACTATGTTATATGGCTTCAAATGCTACTTGCACACATTTGTAGGATGTGTGTGAGTTATTTCTAAACATACTTATTTCAAACTTATGATTATGAAATGAGGACTATCATCAAGGGCCTTGTTCAGAATATACATTCTATGTGAAATTTTCCATATTTTAAGGTAGCCACAAAGTCCTAGGCTACATTAAAAGTAAATGCATTATATTTCTGGGATTGGTAATGTATTCATGAAAAAATCCAGTTTTGATAGTTTATAAATATATTTACAGAGTTATAGACATAAAATACTTAATGATATTAGGTATACAAACTATTGTAATTCATATTTTAGGATAAACATACTAAATTTATTGTACTGATATATAATCAAATGATCAATGCAGTTATTTCTAGCTTTTAAAAGTTAGGACATATATTAATTACCTTCTAGTTTTATATTCTAGTCACCCCCCCATTTAGAAAACTGCCAATAGCATGTATGTGTAAAATTAAACTAGATTAAATTTAATTTCTATTTAACTTTTTAAAAAGGCTTTTTGATCCATTATGTTGAAAAAAAAAACACCTTACTATTAATCTAATACAATAATAAGGTCTTGAGTCCAAAGTAATTGGAGATCAAATACAGCTTGGATTTACTTTAGCAAACCTTTGTATTTCAACATATAATAGAAATCATTTGTATCCAAGAAAATTTCTTACTATTCTGAGAAATAGCTGGTTTAATTTTTTTAAAGAAAATATACACATTTATCTAGGAAGTAATTTATGAAAAAATAAAGAATAAAAATTATTGTATGTGTCATTTACATTATAACATTCAAGCTGCTATATTACATAAAGCAGCAAAAATTATATGACAGTGATTCACAGTGTTTTTCAAAATAGTGTTTTTTGATGTTTAATAAGAATCTAACATATTTAAAAAAATTTTAAGCTAGGTGATATTATTAAAAGTATAATGTTCTAAGATATAAAATTACGTATGTACATGATTAACATACTTGATTTTTTTTACTTAAATGAAGATTTTCCCTTAAATATGCCATTCTTTAGCTTGTAAGCACTCTTGAAAATTTATATTATAAAAATGTATATATTATAAAAATTAATGTTATACAATGTGTAAAAATTGTATACATATATTATATATGTATATAAATATACTCAGGGAATACAAAATTCTGTGTGAACAGGTGAGTTTTTGTTACTGCTAGCTTTATTTACTTACTATACCTTAAGACAGATGGTCAGCGAAAGCAGGTTTGAGGTTAGATTCTAACATAAATCATTACATCATCTGTATTTTAGTTCTGTCGGCACAAGTCTAATCTTTATACTCTCTAGAATATATGCATTCTCATATTTTTAGTTTTATAGTCTCATATTAAAGCAGATTCTATTGCCTATTTTTATTTAACAGACATTGACCAAAGAGATGCTCTGCCAGTGTTAGGCATATGTAACAATTCTGATAACTGAAGCTTTCTGTAATATTTGCAGGAACCACTTACAAACAGTAACCAATTTGATAACGTAGAATTTGGGTTACATAATTTGCAGTTTGAAAAAAAAGGCATTTCTTAAGTTCTTATTTATTTTGGTGTCATGCACTATAAATTCTTAAGAAATAATATTTTTAAAGAAAATCAAATATCTTACAATTCTTTCTACTAAAATATTATTTTGCTGTTGATTAAGTGCAATGGTGGGTATTATGACACTGTTCAGAAGTGTGGAATGAATCTGCAAATACGACTTTTTATATTCTACCACTTAATTATTTTCATCTGAAAAATCAAATAGTCTAACCATGCAGATGATCACTTTAACCATTAATAAGGTAATTTATAAGATGAACACCATGATCATAATCATTTTTATGATCCAGATTTTTTATTTATTATGTTTTTGCTCTGTATGCAACTACTGATTTATGATCTGTGTTTTATTTTTATAGGGAAACACCCCAAAATTTATCTTAATATTAGATGCCTGTTTTATAGACTATCTTAATATTAGATGCTTGTTTTATAGACTAAAGAACAAATATTTTTACTTTGAGCTTGTAACTGGGTCAGATTAGTAGCTATATAGGGCATATCCACAAAGTTTCAATAATTGCCGTTATACATTGGTTAATCACTGTAATTAGATGAAGTTGGTGTCTGCATATGCAAGGTGAATTAAGTGTGAAGGAAAGGAGATCAAAGAATTCTTTCAGCCCAGTGCTCCTCCACATACATATCACAATACATTAAGATATCTTTTCTTGCTAAGTTGATCATGCAAGAACAAATATACACATAACTATTTCAAACAAGAGAACATTTGGTTTGAATTATCTGACCTGTTGCTTTAATTTCCATTCCTAATTTCCTGTTTAAATCTTTATCTTCTATATCAACCTCACATGAACTCAGCACCAAACATTTTGTCATTTGTTTTATTTATATTGATATATACTGCGGAGATGGTTCTTCAATATCAGTGAACATTTAGGCTGGATCATGGCCCTTGGGGTCACGCTGGAATGTCCCGGGGATCTGTGAAGAAGATCTTAGTGCCAAAGGGATTCTGATTTCATTGGTCTGGCTTGTGTCATGGG